CATTATTTCGATTTGATAATTAATACATGAGAGATATTGTGAATTTGTTGAGATTTTATAATTTTTTTCCAGATTCCGATTGTTTTTCACTATATTAAAATAATTTACATAAAGTTTTTGTACCTGATTTTCATAATCCCATATGTAAATCTCACGACGATGAAGAGAATTAGAGTTATCGAAGTACTTTTTGTAAATGTTGTCACGGTTTATTTTAGTTTATATTTACTTTTTTTTGTATTTAGAAAATTTGAGAGAGAGTTTATTATGTTTATTATTTAAATAACAATTTATTGACTATATTAAAATTTAAAAGCAATAAACTAATATAAATATAACTAAAAAATTACTGGGTAGCCATTAAGATTCCCTGTTTTTTTATCGTGTTCTAACTTGAATTGAATCGCTAATTGCTTTGCTTGTTCACTAGTTTTATTTTTGTTAATATAAAACCGTTTATTTTTTATTTTGTTATTTTCGTTCCAAAAAAATCTCCAAGCATTTTCACTTTTACTAAAGTTTATTCCGTTATAATTAGAAGTATTATTTTTTTGTAATTTACGATTGAGCATATTTTCTTGTTGTATTGTTTCTTTTAAATTAATCTCACGATTATCAAGACCATCACGATTAATATGATCGGTAATTTTCCATTTGGGATGAATCAATTGATGAATCAATTTTCTTTTGTTATTATTTTTAATATAATATATATTTCCGTGTTTCCAACAATACCAGGTATAATTTTGAAGTAGATGAAAATTCTCCTTATCGAGAAGAAAAGTGATTCCAGGTTTTTTGTGTTTTTACTTCTAAATAGATAGTAAAATTGATTTTCACAAGGCGATATTCGTTTAGTTTACGTTTAGGATATTTTGGATTCTTGTATTTCTCCCAATCAGTTAAGATTTCAAATTCTTTAAATTTTTCTTGCCAGTTTGACATTTCTTGTTGATAAAAATAATAAACCTGAAGAACGAAAAAGCGCATAAGCGATCGTTCAGAGATAAAATAAAGATAGTATAACAAGCGAAATTATATTTCAGACATATATACAAGTAGGGATCCTCCTCTTACTTGTTAAATTAGTTAAAGTATAAAGTTAATTTTGTGTTTGGTTGAATCTTGTGGTTTTGCTTCAGTAGTTTTATTTTCGACCATATTTGTTATAACTTTCAACTTAGTCTCGTAATATTTTTTATATTCGATTGCGCGATTCAGAACAGATTTATCTTCACGATCTCCAGGAAATCGCCGTTTGTGAAGCTTTTGTTTTTATATTTTTGATATACCCATGAATTCCGAGATTTTTCATAATATATATTTTCGAAACCAGAGGTGTTTGTATTTAACATTTTCTTAAACTAATTTTGGGAGCGAAGTATTTATATAGTTTTTTTTGTTTTGATACGCAGTAAATTATTGCTGCGGCACGTGATCTAAAATAAATTAAATTTTCTTTTTAAGAATAACATTTAATTTAGCAGTTATTAAAAAAAGTATATAAAGGGTGTAGTAGCACACGAACAAAAATAGAAAATTCAAAACAATGACAAATATTTCAAGACAAACAAGATTAAGATGTTTTACGTTTACGATTTTTACAGACGATTTGCAAAAATATAAAGAATTAATAGTTAAAAATGTTGAAAAAAAAAATATTTGATATATTGTTTTTCAATATGAATATACTAAAATGAATAATAAACATATTCAAGGATTCTGTATGTTGTGGACACAATTGAGATTGGGAAACTATAAAAATAGTAAAAAAGCTTCAACAATTAAAGGTATTTTTCAAAACGAAGAGATGCACGTTAATTTTCATAACAGAACTTTTGAAGATGCAATTAGATACTGTAAGAAAGATAGAAATCGATGTTCAAAACATCATCCTTATTGCAGGTGTGATTTTTTTGATTTAACAAAAATATGTGATAAATGTAACGAAAATTGTTTGGAATTTCAAACATTCACATGCGTTGATGATAAATCTGGACCGTTCGAATATGGAGAATTGCCAAAAAGTAATAACGTAGAAGGATTCAATCAACATTTAGAAGAACAAAAAAAAATACGTATACAAACAATTGAAGATATCAAAAAACAAATCAAACCGATAAATGAAATTGTTATAGATGCTTTTGTTAATTCAGGAACAGCACCGCATATTATCAAAGAACTTTACAACACGATTCGTGATAGTCAAAAGAAATCATACAAGAGATGTTTTACTCCATGCAACATCTATATTTATGGTGACTCGAGAACTGGAAAGGATTACTTGACACAAATAC